GTTGAGAATTTGTACCGCCTCCCAATGAAGGCGGGAAGATCTGGAGCCGCCCTGGCTGTTGAGGTACACCTTGGCCAACATGTTGTCCGTTCGGACCAAGACTGTCGCCTGTGGAGTGCCTGGTTGAAATGATTGAGGGCATGACGAATAGCTCTCAGTTCCAGGAGGTTGATCAGGAGACTTTGCTCTTCCCTGGACCAGCGACCCTGGATGGGGATCCCCTCCAGGACTGCCCCCCAGCCCCTGAGACTGGCATCTATAAAGATTTCCTTGAGAGACAGGGTATAGTAGACCTTGCCCTGTCAAGTTCTGTGGATTCGTCCATCAGAGAAGGCTGGACTTGACCTGTGCCGGGATGCGTAGATTCACTACCCTGCGTTCCATGATTTGACGCTGATATGGTCTGAGGAACCGCTGTAACGGTCTGGAGTGTAGATGGGTCCACTGGGCCAGGTCTATACAGGAGATCATCAGACCCAGGAGTCTGGCCAGGGACATCAGGGTGGTCGAGGAACTCCGAATCACCAAGCTTGCCATGTCTCGAATCTTGGTAGCCTTGTCCAGAGGCAGGAAGAGAGAACTGCACGCATTATCTATTACTGCTCCCAGGTAATGGGATGGTAAAAGGCAACTCTTGTGGAAGTTGACTATGAAGCCATGCTCCTGCAGGCAATCTACCGTCCTTGTGGAGTTTTGGATGGCCGAATTCAGATCATTGCCCCTCACCAGCAGGTCGTCAAATTAAGGGTATATGTGGATCCCCTGTTTCCTGAGATAGACTACCAGATTGATAAGAAGTTTGGAAAACAGCCTGGGTGCTGTTGAGAGACCAAATGGTAGGGCCCGATACTGAAAATGATGTTGTCCCATACAGAAACGGAGAAATCTCTTGTGAAACTGATAAATGGGGACATGAGGTCTATGGATGATAGGAAATCGCCAGACAGCAAGGTCTCAGTCCCCTCGGTCAGATCTGTTGAAAGGAGACTTGTTGAACTTGGTGTTATACGGTCCCCTTCTGTTGGGAGGCTTTGACAAGCTCCAATTGCCCTTTTTCTGGTCCTGACGAAATCTAGACAGGGTATGCTGCGAGCGAAAGGAATACATGTTCCGCCGCTCCGTTTGGCGAAAATTCCTAGGCATGGCCTTCTTTTTGTCTCATGTCTCCACTAAAATTCTGTCCAGAGCATCTCCAAAGAGTCGATCTCCATGGAATGGATAGGCTGACACCATCAGTTTGGACTGGAAATCGGCTTGCCAAGCCCTCAGCCACAGTAGACGCCTGGCTACAGTTGTAGAAGCCATGGCTCTGGATGCGAAGGTGAAGGAATCCAGAGTGGGATCTACCAAAAATGAAGCGCCCTTCAGGATGCGTGAGGCTCCCTCAAGTAGACCCCTGTTGTTCTCGGGCAATAGTTGGATTAGTTTGCGAATCCAGACAGTCAATGCTCTGGACACTATGGATGTAGTAGCCGCCACTCTTACCATCTTGGTAACGCCCTCATAGATCTTCTTGAGCGTAGCATCCACCTTTTTGTCAATTGGATCGCGAATAGAACCGTGGCCATCCTCACAACCTAGGCCTGTAGACTGAATAGCTGCCACTGGACAATCCACCGGTGGTACCTGCAAAAGTTCATTCGCATAGGAAGGCAAGGCATACAACTTTTTGACAAACCCAGGGAACTGTCTGTTCGCTGAAGGCCTGTCCCATGCCGATCTGAGCTGTCTCTCAAAGTATTCAGGGAATGGGAAGACACCATGCTCGAGTAGTTCCTCTGGGGGGAAGAATTCAGAAAGTCCCTTGGAATGAGACTTGGCAGGCACCTGCTCTTCGGTAGCAGGGGTCTCCTGAATCTCTAGAGCCTTCATTGCCTTGGTGAAAAAATATTGATATTCCTCTGCTTTAAAGAATTGTTCAGGCATTTTCATTTCTTCCTCTTCCTCATCAGAGAGGAACTCGCCCTCCTCCCTGTCCTCAAGAATGGAAACAGAAGAGGCCTCTTCTTCCTCTCATTGTTCCCCCCTATGTCTTTTATGTGAACCAGGGGGTGCCTTCTAGGCTGCCTTGGTAGGCCAGGGAGCTGGGCGTTGGGCTGGAGAAATCTGGACACCACCTTGGCCAGTGAGTCCTACCCCATTACAGAAGGAGGAGATCTCTTCCTGCATAGCCTGCCTGAACACCCGCATTAAAGTTGGGGAGTTGAGCAGTCCCAGGTAAATCCGGGAGCCCCCCCAAGGGATGGATCTGGCCTGGGGAGACATGTATCGGGGGTCTTACTGGCTCCCACGGTCTGTTGGCTGCCCAGCAGAGGAATTGCGTAACTGCCTGAGTCCTGTGCCGCCGCTCCAAGATGGCCGCCACTCGTCTTCGCCCGCCCGATTTTGGCGGGCTCCACATCTTCTGGCGTCCAGCAGCATTTCTGGGTGCTCTGCGCCACCGCTGCCGCCTCTGCTGGGTTCGTTGGGGTTGCAGAAGCAAGCCCCGAAGGCAAGTTGGCCCCACAGTCGGCCGCCGCTGTGGCGAACGTTTCCTTCTCGACAGAGAAGAAACCGTCGGAGTGCTCTGCCGCCACCGCCATCTCCTCGCACGCAGCAGCATTTGTCTTCAAAGAAGCTCCCTTGCCGACTCTTGACTCTCGTCGAAGAGCGAGCAAGAGAGAAAGAACAGAAAGAAATAAGGTCAGGAGAAGTTGGGAAGGAGAAAATAGAGAGAGAGTTGTGGAAAAAATACACAAAGAAGCAGTCAGAAAGGCAGAGCCTTGACACTAGCTGCTACTCCCTAAGAGGCAGGAATAGAACCGAAGGCGGGGCTATTCCCAAGGCACCAAGAGGAAGGGGGGAAAGTGTTTCCTGCCTCCCTAAAGGAATGATGGGACTAACCCATGGAGATGTCCTCCACCTCAGAGGGAGAAGTGCAATTTCTAATGGAACTACCTTGAGACATGCTGCAGGATTTCGATCGGCCTGCTTAGTGAACTTGGCACCTCCATGCGGTGCTGTTCCCCTAGGCAGAGAAGACACAATTGTGCCTGTCGTTTGAAGGAAGCTTCACAGGGAAGCGGTGACACTCCTTAAAAAAGAGAGTGTGTCCCATACGGACACATTTCTGACCAGGGAGAGGGAGGGGAAGGGGGGAAAGGGGACAGGCAGAGAATAGTCAAAAGAGAAAGAAGTAAAAATTAAAAAAAAATATGTAGAAAGAAGAGGAGGAAATGAAGACTAATGAAGAAAACACAACAGGTCAAGAATTGAACAACTTAGCAGAGGTGAAGCAAGGAGCAACGAAGAGAGGTGTGAACACAAGGGAAGTCAAAGAAGAACTGAATGGGAGGCCATTCCAGGCATGCGCCTGCTCTAGGCATGTGCAGTGTACACCTGCTCTCCAGAGCAGGAAGAGAGCCTGCCAAAAAGGCTCTGAGGCAAGATCTAGATGTTTCTCTGGTGAGGTCATGCGCAGGTGCTCAGCCCCATATGTGGGACTGCATGGGGACCACTAAGAAAATACAAAGGATACTCTTTATTATGCTAATAACCAGGCAAAGATCTTGCTTCAAGGAGATAAAATATTTTAAGATGCTGTTCCTCCTGAACAAACCTCTGAATGGAAAAACAACAATTTTACCACTACCCATCCGGAACTAATGATATTTGGGTGCAAAACAAAATGCAACACATGAACATTTGAAACGTACTGCTAGCTGTGATGTCATCAGCATGGTACCCAAATGTTGATTAATTCTGTAAACTTTGACCTTCACATAATAGAACATGGCTGGTTATTAACAATCCATGTTTGTTTGTTCATTTGTACCTACATGCTATTTATAATGTCTGCTTTTCAGGCACCTAGCATCAAGTTTTACTCAGTATGGTTATGTCTCCTATTTATTTTGTAAGTATCAAGTCTGATCTGGACACACTGTGAATCAAATTATAGGAAATAATTTGGCTACCAAATATGTAGTAGAGTTGTGGGATGGTTAAATTGCAATCCAAAGCTATGTTATTGCCGCAACTGCCATAATTTCCAGTCACTTGAGCCCTTATAGCAATTCACCCCTCAAAGACAGAGTGTCACAGTTATTATGTTTAACACTACTGCTCTTCACCTTTTATTTGGTGTACATGAGTACAAGTAAAAAGTGACATTGTGGCTGGCCTACTACATCCTCTGAGACTGAGAACTTGTTCTTACAAGGATTTGTTGTCTTTTGTAGTTTTAGGGTACAAGCAGCTTTGGACAATGACAAGAGAAAATTTCTAGCTGAGGATATCTGACATTGGGAGAAGTAGGGATTCCCCCCTCCCCCCCTCTCTTTCAATTTGGAACTGGAGTATTTCATTTCTGTGATTCCTCTTTCCTTGCCAGCTTCTGTTGCCCTAATAAGAGCACCTCAAAAGACCTTCCTGGGTCTTTTTTCTGAACCCTGGCTGAATTCTAAGGTTTGGAGTTATCTACAGTTTACTCTGCTAACCCCAAGCTACTAAGAGGTGTAGCTGAGACAACGGGCTAGCTAGTAGAAGTAATATTTCAAGGCCATACGGTAGTCTTGACCATTACTGTCTACAGAAGAAAAGTGAAACTAAATCAAACAAGGCAGGTTGACTGAGGCTCCAAAACTTACACTAGTATGTAACAATCCTTGTGCTTAAAAAGTTGTCCAGGGGAAGGAACTCTCCTCTGAAAGGGGATATGCAAATTAATTTTAACTTGCCTTCTAAGAAGGAATACAAGAAGTTAACACTTCCCTGCCAACTTTGAAATTTGCTGATGAGTTTTCAAACTAACTGAAAGATTAGGTAACTTGTTAGAATTGTCAACACAGAGACAATGTCTGGATTTTTATATTAAATTTATTTCTACTTCAATAAATGCTGTCTCAATTATGCTGAGGAACAACTTAACTTTTAAAAAGGCAGACCAGAAATAAGTTCAAAGTGAAACATTGATTCCAGGGCTCACTAGTGGAGTGCCTTCTTACAGGAAACTAGATTACCTCCATAGAAATCCGCCTGTGTATCCGATTTCTGAGGCAAACACCGGTGGGAGACTGGACTTCATCAGATGATGTTCCAGAAGCTTGATCACTTTCACCATCTGATCCCATTTTCAGATTTTCATGTACAATATCTAAATATAAATAATAATAATTATTATTATTATTATTCAACTTGCTGTCTCCCTTTACTACTCACCTGCACTCCTGGAACAAACTGAAGTAGTATTCATTTTCTTATTTCATCATTGAGACTCTTCATAACATGATTAACACATTCCAAAACATAAAATGATGCCAACTTGGCTTAACATTTTAGTCCTAGTTACTGTATTCAATTTCTATTTTAATTAAGGTCACCTCAGTTTCCTAGTACTTGAAAACCAAGGCTATCAAAATGTTCTTGAGCCTGGAGATATGACAGCTATCTGTACAAAATCTTAGAAACTCTCTCTCTCTCTCTCTCTCTCATCTATATTTATATATACTTAAAACTGAGCATTTAAGGAAACTTCAAAAGAGTTCTTTTGCCTAAGAGTGGATAAAGAGGAAATTTGAAATAAGGTGATGGGACTTTGAGTGTGATATTTATTAATACATATTTGAAGCATGCCAGGAAATGCCGGAGATGCTAAAATTTATCATTAAATTTTAAGAGCCAACCAATGCCACTGATTAATTATCAGATATGATCCATATTTTCATTATTTACCACAATGTTCAGATTGGTCATTTACTTCATATATATCCTATTTTTCTTCCTAATGGGGATCCAAAGAGGCTCACAACATTCTCTCATTCTCATCCTCAGAACAGCTTGTGAGGTAAGTTAGGCTGAGTGTGCATGCCAGCAAGCTTCCATGGCAGAGTGGGGATTCAAACTGTTGCCCAGATCCTAGCCTAATACTAACCACTACCCCATACTGGCTCTGGCTTTTATGAAAAAGATTAATCTAGAGGTACAAGAATCTATTAATCTGTGCTTGTCAGTATCAGAATATAGCAGAAATGGCAAGATATAAATCCATACACAAATAAATATTCAAAGTGAAAAAGTGAACTGGCCATTCAATTTCAATTGTTAAAAACTTATTTAGGATTTTAAAAACTACTGACTGTAACTGATGAAACACTGACCACAAAATAAAGGGCATATCATGGCCATTCTGAAAGGAACTAAGAACATTCCATTTCTTGTCACATTTCAATTTCCACTCCTTTTCAAACCAGAAGTGCTATAGGAAACTGAAACCACATGCAAATCCCCAGTGAAACAAATTCTACTGCTAAGACAACAAACCTACAGCTGAAAAAACTATCCTTGGATAATAATATGAAAAAGCAGGCCTATAACGATCTTAAAGAAAAAAACCCTCTTTAATATGTGATCAGTGCAACCTTATTCATATGCAAGACAAGCATGTAGAACAAATAGGATGGATCTTGAGGTGATAGGACACTTCACTCAAGCATCTGTATAAAGATTTTCTCTTTTTTTTAGTTTTGTGAATTTTCTCTTTGCACTCAGTGAATGCTCATGGGTTAAGCTCGGACAGTCTGGTCAAAATAAAGTTAGTTTCTCTCCCCTTCTCAATTCCTTCTGAATTTCAAGCTGAAGAAAGTGGCAGAGTAGCCATTTGTCTACTAATGAATGTAGCCCCAGAAGACAAAGGACAGCCAGGCTGTGTGGGCTGAGAGCACAAAGGCAACGGCGACCTCTGAGCCTCAAAGTTACCAGAATGTTCTAGTCTTCGTCCTTTTCTACCTGGTGACATGTCAAAAGGAGTAGTTTTGGTGGCTCATGGGAAGAAGCAGCTCTCCATTTAAGAGAGAGGGGCAGCCGTTAAGAGAGACTTCATGGGGACTCAGAGAAACACAGAGACAAGGCCTCATGCTTATCTCAGTATTAGAAAGAACTATGGAGAGTGAGATTCCCAAAGTTTCCCCCTCCATGAGGGACGAGGGATGTCTACTAATGGTGTTTTGGCTGAGTACTTCCCTAGCTTGACTACCCCTAAGCATCGGAGGGCATTTATGTTAGCCTGTTTTAATGTCCTTCCTTCTGCGGTACTGTATGGGAGATTTAAAAAAACAGCATACTTTTCTAGGCTCTGTTCTTGAGGTCTGGAGGAGATAGAAAGTACTGAACATGTTCTCCTGCATTGTATATTTTACTGAGATACTTGTGCCATATACCTAGAACCTCTGCTACAAAATCGCGAGGGTCAATCTGATGACTGCAAGACGGTTTTCCTACTATCTACCCATAACTCTGAGATCATTGACTCGGTGGCTAAATTTCTATGTTGTGCCATTAAGAGGAGAGGACTGTTTCAACTCCAGTGATGAAGGTTGTACTTTTATCCCTTGCTGGTGTATGTTGTTTTGTTGTGATGCCAATAAAGGTAGTCATAAGTTTGATAGCAGAAATACTTCCATGATAGAAGAAATAAGGAGGGAATTCTGAACATGAATGAAGGGTTCTGACTGCAGGCTATCACACCACAATGCTTCTAGTGGCCTGCTGGTGGCAGCAAAGAACAAGCCCTGTTTGTGAAAAATGGTTGAGACAGAGCAGGAGAGGTGATATCACGGAGGTCTAGCCGCTTGAGAGCAGGGCTAGCTGCATAATTTCTTCATTTCCCACAGGGGGAAAAAGGGCTTGCAGGGTCATTTTACCACAGATCCAACCAGTTTTTCCCACTAGTGAGACCAGAGAGGGTCTTTTTTGACAACAAAAAAGCTATGATCAGAATTATGGGAATGCATGGATGAATGTCATTTGTGACAGGGACTCCAGTAAGGAAGAGGATTAAGTGAGACTGAGTGCAAAGGCTGAGAGCCAGTTTGGTGTAGTGGTTAGGAGCATGGACTCTAATCTGGGACTCTAATCTGGGACTCTAATCCCCACCCCTCCACATGAAGCTGCTGGTATGACCCTGGATCAGTCATAAATTTTTTCAGAGCTATTCTGTCAAGAGCAGTTCTCGAGAGAGCTCTCTCAGCCCCACCTACCTCACAGGGTGTCTGTTGTGGGGAGGGGAAGGGAAAGGGATTGTAAACTGCTCCGAGACTCCTTTGAGTAGTGAAGAGCAGGACATAAATACAATCTCTTCTCTTCTCTCTTCTCACTGGATCCATCATTACATTTATCAGTACAGAGAAATTACACTGTCCTACCCATAAAAACAAAGTTTGAGTCAAGTGGCACCTTTGAGACCACTTGACTCAAACTTTGTTCTGCTGCTTCTGACCAACATGGCTACCCACCTGAATCTGTCCTACCCAGCATACACTGATGTTGGTTTGAGTCAGGGGGATCACACCAGTTACTGATTCTTCAGGCTCTGGCCAGTGTTTGACTCAAAATTTAAGATATTTACTATTTGACTTGATTTAAAACACTCATTACCTGCATAGGAGGAATTAATTTTAAGGACTAATTAATCTTATGGACTAAAATTATCTCAGTCCAGAAATAGATGATTATGCAAAGCTTTCTTTAAATGTTCCTCCAAATTAAGGTGTTTACACAATTTGCGTTGATATACTTTAACTACTTCCAACTACAGCTAAGACTTTTTCTAGTATCTTACTTAAATCTAAATTAGACATGAACTGTTCAGATAGTCTTCTAATGCCATAAAGTATGTGTGTATGCAACATATTCTTTAATTAATTACATGAGAAATTATTCCTGAAAGTGGTAAGGATATTACTGCAGTATAACTTGTTGATCTCAGACCTGTTGAAAACAGACTATCCAGTCACTCTGTGAGAACACAAAAGATTCCTCTGAGAGTAATGACATCCAGTTCAGCAGAAGTTAAGTATAATGACTGCTGTTGTTTGCTGAACTGGATTTGCTTGTGTTTGCAGAAATGTTTATAGTCTTAAATATGATTTTTCTGATTTTACTTAAAAAGCATAACAAAATGCATTGACTTTTAATGAATACAAAACCTTGCATAATAAATGTTGATCAAATGCCCAAATTGTTACTCAAAAGTATCTAATACAGCCAATCAAATGAACAGTAACAGATACAGGAAATGAAGCATACCAAGTCCAGTACATTCTGCTTATAATACAAAATAGTGCTCTGCTCATAGAGATGATTTATATATACCATGAGTTTACTGACACAAAATTACACCTCAGGGAGACCTAATTCTCATCTGCAGCCACAAAGAACAGGCAAACCTGCCAGGTAATTTCTCTTCAAAGAAAGGGGGAAAACTGCATTCATGAATATTTAAGAACTGTTCTGAGGCTTCAGTGACATAAAAGCATGCAATTGATGCAAAAAAACCCCCATAATAATTGCAAAAATCACCTACAGACTTAGGAAGGGAAAGAACAGATCTGTTATGAATTCTGTGCAAAGGCTTTTTGTATCTATTTTGTATCTATAGTCTAAATGAGCTTAAAGTTGAGAGCAACATTATTCTTTTCTAATTTAGGAAATTGAATCCTACATGTTTTAACATGGGGAGCCAATAGCGACATTCTGCCTTTACTTTGGATCCATTCAGCCACAATTAAGTGCAATCAAAGTTTTTTAGAAACTGGTATGGTTACTGTTAAAGCATGAGTGTGGATAACTGTTATTCTCTATTGGTTCAAAGTAATGACTAATCCCACCATCTTAGTGCGTCTGATTGTGAGGGACTCATACCATTTCGGATCAAAGAAACTGAACTTAAACTGGGCTATTATGGTCTTTCTAAACAGTTTTTACTGAGTATGGAGTACAATCTTGTTAAACCCTTTCTTAAACAAAGAATCCTGGACATTGAAAGACAGCATGAATTGAACCAGGTAAAAGGTTATCTTCCAGAAATAGAGGATTTAAATAAAATATTAATGCCATACTTGCAAAATTTGGATAAAACTGACTATAGGAGAGCATTTGCCCTCTTTAGAATAGATATGTTACCATCAACAAATATGGAGGGCATCTGTGGGAATGGGAAACTGGAATCTAGGGAACATGTTTCATTTGAGTGTAGACTTTACCAAAATATTAGAGCCGCCTATATAACACCGATTTGTAATTATTTCCCAGGGAGGAATATCGGATTTTACCTAGACAAGCTCTTAGCAGATAGAAACCAAAAGATTATCCTAAATATGGCAAAATTTGCTAGACAAGCTATAAGACTCTGGAAGCAAATTTATAGAGGGAAGCATCTAATTGGCCTATCACTAAGAACTCAGTCCTGATTTTTATTTTATATGTCGCAATCTGAATGTATATTGTACTCACATTGTGTATGTTATTTGATTGGTCTCTGACCATATCAAACTCTTGCTGTTGCTGTTTTTGTTGTGTTTTATTCCAACAATTAAGTTCAGGAGCGATCCCACATGGATGATGACTACAAATACAATTTTCATTTATAACAGGACAAAAAGGTTACATAGTTGGGCACTTATAGAAACCTTCATTTCTGAATCCCTTTGTTGTGCATGTGCTTTTTGCTTATTATTTATCTACATCTCACTTTTCTTCCTAAAGGAGACCTGAAGAGGCTTAGTACACTGTTCTCCTCTCCCACCGCCCTGTGTTGAGGGATGGTTCTGACTTGTAGCATGTTGTTTTTAATCTCTCTCAGACATATGATTCTATTAATAGTTTGAAGTAACTGCCATCCTATTATAAGAAATAGCAAAATTAACACACTTGCCAGTCTATCCAGGGGCAAGGACCATTGCACATTAGCTATTCTGCATATGTCCAATAGGCCAAGCTATCAACTCTGCTGAGAGTTGATTGACTCACTAGCAGGACTCTCATGAAGCAGTGATGAGGTGTCCCATTGTGCTCATATCACACAGAAGGTTTTTACTCCCTAAAAATAGGCTAGTTTAGGGCTGAAAATATTTTAAATACTTAGATGCCAGCCACTGACATGTGAACACTCTTTGGCATCCCTCAATGTTTACACTAGAACCCTTTGACTTTCAATGAACACATGTACTATTTTCATAGACAGTTTCCTTCCAAGTCAATTTTGAATTAGAGACTGAAGAAATATTCAATATTCTTAAATTCTGTTCCTATGGCCATATTTGAAACATTTTTACTTTGATGTTAAGGAGCATGTATAACCAAAGAATTCACATATTCTCTTCATGAACTGATAATACAAAGATACCAATGCAATGTATTACCTAGTCTGCTCCCATTCCTTGGCATTGCCATGAAAGAGCCAAGGCTGCCACCTATAACGCTGTGCGGTCTTCGTAGTGGCGGTTTTTTGAAGGATCCTGTGTACTGATGAAGGAATGAGTGCATGCTATGAGATGTTGGTGGTCTGCCATTCTTCACAATGGGCTCTACAATTTGCCAGCACCAGCCGATTCGTCACACAAGAACGAAATTCAGGAACATGTTAGGAAAGAAAAGAAGCGTTACCATACGAACTGCTTAAAGAAATGGAAATCATGCAAATGAAAAATACAAGCTTCAGATGTTTTAATTTTCGTGGCATTTAACAGAGATCCATAGCATTTAAAAACCAGAGAACAGCTAATCATCATCAATACTGAAGCATAATAAAAAAGCATATACATACAAAACACCTGCCCTAGCTTCTGGGCCTGAATCAAAGAAAGTACGGCATACTGTAGACACAGAAAATGGCATGATGTAGCAACCATGCAATCACCACTAAGTCTACTACAATGGCTGGAGCAGTCACTGAGGCACAGGATGAAACCCACTCACCACCATTTCAATATACTTCAGAAAGGTCTGATAAGTGAAAAAGGTGTTGAAAAGTGCCCCCTAAACAACCGGGGGGGGGGGGGGACAACTCAGCTCCTCAGGACCAAACCGCAAGATCATTCTCTAGTTAGGCAGGTGGGAAATAATCTTTATGTGCCTTTTCACTAAATTTAAGCATGCCCCCAATCCAGAGCAAAAACAGACAGAAGCAATATTGACACCATCTGAGATTCAGTAATTGATATATGGATTTTATTTATTTTAACATTGTTTTTAACTGCTCTACTGATGTCTACAGTTCTGGAGGCCCCCCTTCAAAAAGGATGTGGACAGAATGGAGCAGGTGCAGAGGAGAGTGATGAGGATGATCGGGGGCCTGGAGACCAAGTCCTATGAGGAAAGACTAAGGGACTTGGGAATGTTTAGTCTGGAGAAGAGGAGGTTGAGGGGGGGACATGATTGCTCTCTTTAAGGATTTGAAGGGCTGTCACTTAGAGGAGGGCAGGGAGCTGTTCCTGTTGGCAGCAGAGGATAGGACTTGCAATAACGGGTTTAAATTAAGGGTGGGAAGGTACCTGCTGGATATTAGGAAAAATTTTTACAGTAAGAGTTGTGCAACAGTGGAGTTGTGCCTCACTTGCAGTCTTTAAGCAGCAGCTGGACAAAGACTTGTCAGGGATGCTCTAGTCTATGCGGATCCTGCATTCAGCAGAGGGTTGGACTAGATGGCCTGTATGGCCCCTTCCAACTCTGTGATTCTATGAATATATTTAGTGTGGAATATATTGAACCTGCTGATCATTCATCCCTCAGCAAGAAGCTGATTATGTCCTGCCTATTAGATTCAGCTAAGAATGCTCAGCTGAGGGTGGCTCATACACTTAGGGAAAGGTGGGATTCTGTTTTCTGAACTCAGTATACCAACATAAATCCACCACCATGCATTCTTTAAAAAATACAGAACGAAAACTTCAAGTGGCAGGAAAATTAAATGGTTTTCAGATGCTACGGAACAGTATACATTTATTTAACTAAGAAATCACAAACCTACATCCTCTGCACAGGAAGAGTTCAAGTAGCTGTAATTAAACAAGAGTGGAAAAATATTTAAAAGTAATCTAATGCTGTCAGGAACACTAGAATGTGTTCTTGTATTACTCAGAAATATTTACAGCTTGATTCCAAGGATATATATGTGAAAGCAAATTCTGCTGGGCTCAATGGGACTTGTTCCCAAGTAAATATACATAAGACTGAGTTCCTTGGACAGCTTTGAGTCCAAATCTGTGGATATTTAAATCTAGAGATTAGAGCCATGAACGGGCAAGACAGGGAAGCGAGGAAGAATACACATGTGGCCTTTACATGCGTACCTTCCAAAACTATTGTGGGTTCTAAAGTCTACGTATACAGAGGTGCAATCTTTGGGGAAATAATTGTGGAGAAAATATAAGGGGCAGAAGGAAAGTGACAAAGATGCAACTTTGAATTGAACTAGATTTGATCATTAATGACACAGATTAACAAAGAGAAAAGTGAGAAAGACAGGAAGACTGAAAGGAAATGTGACAAGATAACCGCAACTGTGAATGTAATAAACAGCAAGTCTATCACACAAACAAGGGAATACAAGTTACACAAACTGGGAAATAAGCAATCAAGAAATCCTGGAGGACTTTCATGGAGAAAATAAAAGAGTTTGGTGATTTAGCAGGTTTTTATGTAAATAAAAACAAATCCAAGGTGATGTGTAAAAATATGACTGGTGGGAAGCAGGAGGAACTTCAGAGATTGATACAGTGTGAAGTTGTCAAAAAGACTAAATATTTAGGAATTGACTTGACAATGAAGAATATAGACCTTTTTAAGAATAACTATGACAAACTTTGGCCTCAAATACAGCAAGATATTAAAAAATGTAATACATTAAATTTGTCACTTTTGGGGAGAATTTCGGTGGTTAAATTGAACATTTTACCTCGCTTGATGTTTTTATTTCAGTCAATCCCAATAGTGAGAGATGCAAAGATATTAAATTCTTGGCAGAAAGAAATTTCAAAGTTTGTATGGGCTGGGAAGAAACCAAGGATCAAGATGAAGATTTTATGTGACGCTAAAGAAAGAGGTGGATTTCAACTACCAAATTTTAGACTGTATCATGATGCGGTTTGCCTAACTTGGTTGCAACAATGGATTACTTTGGACAATAGAAAGTTGTTGGCGTTAGAAGATCATGACTGTAAATTTGGCTGGCACGCCTATCTATGGTATGGGAAAATGAAAATGGACAATTTTTTTAAACACCATTATATTAGAAGAACGCTATTTGATACATGGACTAAGTATAGAAGGTTCTTCTCAGACGAGAGACCACTTTGGATAGTACCGGCAGAGGTAATCAAACCTTATTCGACACAAAAAGGAGAAGATTGGCTTCAATATAGAGACATTTTGAAACCTGTGGGAAAGACGTTTGAAATGAAAGCGGAAGAAGATTTGGACTTTAATTATGGTTGGTTACAATATAGACAGATTTATGATTTGTTTAAAACAGATAAAAAGTCTTTGTGTTTAGGAAAACATATAATGAATTTGAAAATGTATGGTTTGAGGGAGGTAAAAAGTTGATATCTAAAATGTATAAGATATTGTTACAATGGTATACAGAAGACGAAATAGTTAAAGAGCAGATGATAAAAGGGGCAATTAATATGAACAAAGAAATATCTATGTCATCTTGGGAATTTTTGTGGAAAAATGCAATGAAAATATCAACATGTAATAACTTGAAAGAGAATTGTTTTAAAATGATGTATAGATGGTATATGACGCCAAAGAAGATAGCAAATATGAGTAGTAATATGTTAAATAAGTGCTGGAAATGTAAAAAAATAGAGGGCTCTTTTTATCATATGTGGTGGACTTGTGATAAAGCAAAAAACCTTTGGACGGAGGTCCATTCGGAAATGGAAAAAATTGTGAAATGCAAATTTAAGAAAGAGCCTGAAATATTCCTTTTGGGTCTTAAAATGGAAGAAGTTAATATTGCGAAAAGAACTTTGATGTGGTATATGATTATAACTGCAAGAATGACATATGCTCAATGCTGGAAGCAAGAAAGAACTCCTGAAATCGGGGAGTGGATAAAAAAACTACTCTTTATGGCTGAAATGGATAAAATGACAAGAAAACTTAAGAATCTGGAGGCAGAAGAATTTTTTGCAGATTGGAAAGACTTTAAAGATTATTTAGAGAAATATTGGGATGTAAAGAACAACTTACTTTGCTTTGATAACTATTGAAAAAAGAGTGATATTAGAAGAAGTGTAAATGAGAAGAACAATAGTTGAAAGATGTGTTACCTGTAGAAATTGAGTAATAAGTAAGGGAGAAAGGAAGAAAATTTAAGATTTGGGCTGGGGGTTGGAGCACTGTGGGAAGTCAAAAGGGGTGGGGAATTAGAAGAAGAAGGATGTATAACAGTTGGTAATGTGATATATGTTTGACCTATTAATATATCCTAATAAATTGTTTTTCACAAAAAAAAAAAAAAAAGAAATCCTGGAGGACTTTCGATTTTGGTGCAGTGGGATTGAGGTAGGCTGCAGAGCTCTGCTCCTGCAGTCACTCAAATTACACGGTTTGGGGGAGTTTGGATATCTAATCTCCTAGGGGGGCCTCAGGAGAGGGGTTTCTGAAGCAGGGGGCTCAACAAAGAACCAGGTCCAGCGGTTGTGTGGATCTGGAGTCCTTTGTCTGCCCTGAATCCATCCAACCCTGGTGACTTTCCATTTTTTAAATTCTTTATAACATTCAAAATTTCTTGTTGTGTAATATCCTTATTTAAGATTAACAAATCCTCTTTCCTAATGTTTTTATCTATAACTTTATCAAACTGGTTACATTCTCCTCCTGTAAATAAGTTTTGATAGAATCTTGTAAAGACTTCTTTTATCTGGTTCTCCTTATAAACCTTATTTCCTGTTTCATTTTTCATACAAGTTATTTTTTTGCCTTTCTCTCCTCCTCTTCAAATAGTCTGCCAGTCTCTTCATTGTATTAATATAAGAGGTTATGAAAGATTTGTCTATGAGAATCCACAGATATGAAATTAATACAATTGAAACATGATTATATTAAAAAAGTATTAAGATAACAAGATGGTATAATCTTTTCTAAGAAGTTACAGAATGCTTTTATGATGTAAAGGCAATAATTTGATTTTTTGCAGATGTCAAGAAATGTATGGACTTAAGTGACCAGATTTAATACAAAGAACTACTGGATTGTATAAATAGAAGTATTAATAAAATGTAGTAGAGCTTGTAGAAATAACTGTAAAAATAACTGTAAGCACTATTTTCTCTTTTTTTACCCCTCCTCTACTCCCTATTTCCCTCTCTTTCAAAAAACTAATAAAAAAATTTAAAAGTAAAAAATAAATAAATAATAATTCCTGGAGAAAGCTGTCCTGTTAAGCTCAATGCATTCACACATGGCGACTGCCCTCTAAATCCATCCACAGATGTGTCTCTTCTGTCTAAGAGAAGCATGCAAAGAGAAAGGAAGAGAGAACAGGACACTGTGGGTGTGAAAGACACATTCAGTT